ACAAGAGGGGACCAGCTGTAAGCAGCGGCCAGTCCCTCCCTCCTGCTTGGTGGTCCCTTCCTGGCCCACTTGGTCCTCTCCCCATTCTGGGCCTGCTGGCTCCCACTGCACCTTTTGTCCCCAGATGGCTGTGCCTTTGTTTGGCACTCGGCACACCTGCCCTTCCTTTGCTGGGCATTGCTGGTAGCTCCCACAGGGCAGGGCTTTACAGTCTACAACGGCGACTCCTTCCCACTGCCCAGCAGGAGCGCACAGTAGGTGCACAGTAAAGCTGCTGGATAACTCAGCAGGTCGTAGATGTGTATGAGCGTTGACCATGGGAGAGCTATGCCAAGCCAAGCCCCTTGGGAGCCTGTGAGTAAGAAAGCTGCTGCCCTTAGGTATGGAGGACCCGCCTCCCCGCTCTGACACAGTGAGGAAGAAAGGCCCACTGAGGTGCGGGTACTGCAAGAGGGAGAGACTCGGTCCCCCAAAGAACCTGGGACCATCTTCCCAGGGCGTGGGGTGTGAGTGGGTATTGAGGGAGGGCGGGATGTTGGCAGGTGAGAGGCAGACATTTCAGCACAGGCAGCCGGTGGAGTGGGGGTGTGTCTAGGGGTCGGGGAGTGGACCCTGGAAAGGAAGATGGGGCCTTTCTGAGAGCTGAGGCTCAGCTCTGCCCACACCTGTGGCTTCCTCAGCAGCTTGGCTGTTTCCCCAAGAAAGGGCTTTCCTTGGAAGCAGAGGGCCCCTCTGTGTGTGGAAGTCTGCTGAGCTGTGAAGACCCGTCTCGTGGCCCTGTGCCATCCTGTCCGTCCTCCCCCACAGCGAGGAGCACGCTGTGCCAGGACACTCGGCCCTTGAACGCTGCTCCTCAGAGAAGCGAATGGCTGATCCCTCACCAGCTTTCTGTCCACTCCATCTTTTCTAACTCACTTACCAGGAGCCCGCCCTTCTCTTTGAACGTGTTGTGGCATTTTAGGTGCCTAAAGTCTCAAGTGGCCTGAAACTGTGAGTCCAGGGCAAGGGGCAGGCTGAGCTGTGGGAGCGTGTGGGGTGGTCCCTGGGGAGGGGGACCTGGAGGGCTGACAGGAGGGAAGGGGGCAAGCCTGGCCACACCAAGGCAGCATCCTGGACGTTGGTGGGGTTCCGGGAGTCCTGTGCGTGCAGACGTTAAAGCCGTACTGCTCATGCTGATGAACTCTCAGTAGGGACCAATGTGAGACACGAGCTCTAAGGAAAGCTGCCCCCGCCCCATGCCCGTGGCACAGGCCCACGAATGCTGTTATTCAGGGTTAGGGGCACACACATGCCACACAGCCTTGCAACACCAGTTCCGTGCGTAAAACCACTATAGCCAAACAGCTCTAGATGCCAGCCGCAGAACGTGCTGGAGTCCACAGTCCCCCCAGGAACTGCCTCTCGGTAGAATCGGGCCTTCAGGGGTCAGAGCTGGGGCTATGGAGGTCCCCTAAGTCTAATTTCCTCATTGGATACTTGGGGAAACTGAGACCTAGAGGAAGTTGCCCAAGATCGGACAGCTAGTTAAGCACAGAGAAAGAACTAGAAATGGAGTCTCTGAGCTTGCTGCCCAGTGTCCTAGTTCACATCTGGGCTCACCCTGACTCTCCCCACCTCTGCTGCTCTGCATTGTGCCTGGTGAAGTCTGGGTGCCCGGCAGGGAGGAAGAACAAGGCGAGGCCCTGTTGGGGTGCTATTGGCATGAACAGAGAGGCTTGCTCTTCCTACGGCAGTCTGGGGCTCCCTTTGGCCCAAATGACCACAGCCGCATAAGTTGCCACCCTTAGGGGAGTCATTCTTGGGACCTAGATGGGGCTGACACAATGCCATCCATGGGAGCACTGGGTCAGTCTGTCCAGCTGAGTGTCTCTGAGTAGAAAATGTGGGGCCATGAGCCCCTGTGCCAGAACACAGAGCGGCAGACGCTGCACGGCAGAATAAACCATAGGAAGCGATAGGCTTCGGGGCTCAGCACCTCAGAGAGCTTTCACCGGCACTGCAGTTTGCCCGGGGAAGGGCTAGGTTCGTCTCTGGCTCAAGGTGCTGCAAGTCCCCAAGGATGCAGTGAGCATCTTTACCCTTTGCTGACCCCCCTGCAGTGGGCCTGACTGCTCCCCTGGCCTCGTTCTGCTGGGCTGGGCATTAGCGCCTGTGCCCAGCACTCTGCGACCTTCCCTGCCTTGTCTCCCCACTGCTGACCTCCCTGCACTGCATTCCCCAGGGCTAAGATTCAAGTGGAGAGACCCTGAGGCTTCGGAGGGGATCTGAAGTCAGTCTTATGACAGAGGGAGGCCATGGGATGGAGGTTACAGACACAGAGGCTCCAACTACTTATGCGTACGAAGCCCACCCTTGGTGCAGCCCCCTGGACAGAGCGGAAATGAGAGAATTGTTGCTCTTTCTCTGTGACCACCTGTGCGGCTCCACCTCAGTCACAGAGGACCTGCCCTGCCCAGGGGTCGTCCTGGCTACCCTGGCCTCCCCTATTCTTAGTTTTCTCTGTCTCTGACTTTTAAACGTCGTTTACACATATGTCTATTTTACTAGATAGATTCTTGTGACTTCAGATCCTTTGGGTATTAGCTGAGGTGTAATACGCGAACAGCATCAGGTCTGGAACATCAGCCCCGGGCCTTCTGCCCGCCCAGAGTCCAGGATCCAGAGGCTTTCAGCCCATGTTACTGTCAGACCACCAGGAGTCGTGCTTGCTCCCACTGCAGCCCAACGGGAATCAGGCAGCCCGTGAAGAAGAACCAGAATGGGACCAGCAGATGGAGAAATGGTTTCATCGCTGGACTCCCACATGGCCAGCTCCCACATGGTCAACTGCGGGTTCAGTCCTGGACCCGGAGTTTTGAAACTCATCTGGGCATGCGTGCCCAAGATCCCAGGAGGAGAATGGAGTAGAAGGGATTGTGGCATGGCCGTCCCCCTGGGGGGTGATTTCCTAATTTCCCTCTCACTCTGTCTCTCTCTCTCTGGCGAGCACACATGCCCTACAGCAAAAATCTCTCTCTCTTGAGAAAAAAAAGAACCAGATTACACTCCAATTTCTCAGGACCTCCTGAAGGGTGAGAAGGGTGACACTAGAGCTAGTGTCACTCAGTTGGAGGAGAGCAAATTCAAGGAGCAGAGGACAGGGGCAGGGGCATGCGACTTTGGGGATGGGCTGGGAACTTTTGGCTCTGTGGGTTCTTTCCTCCATAATGAAATTTAGAAAATGGTATTTTATAGCCGCACCATTGGAAAGACGACCACAGTCCTATCTGGAGTCAATGTGACAGGTTCACTTTTTTTCTTTGAATTTTAAAGAAGTGTAAATGAGAATATTTTGGGGGCCCCTAAAAGTACTAGGTGCCCAGGCTCTGTGGCCCCTGTGCCGGATGGGGAAGCGGCCTTGGGGAGTTAGGGAGTAGGTGGTGGGACCTGGCCCAGGTGAGAAGCATCCCTGGGCTGGGTGGTATTTTAGGTGCCACCGCCTGGAGCTCTCTATGGGGAGGGCAAGCACTCATACCCGCTGGAGCCTGGGCCTGAGTTGCTGCCTGCTCCCAAAACGTGGGGAAGGGACGATGTGCTCCACTCCTGTCCACAGGGGCCAGCTCCAGCTTGACCACTTCACTTCTCCAATGAGGAAACCGAGACTTGGAGAAAAAGTCTGATTTCCAAAATACCCGAGTGGGCGTTTGGAGCAAAAATGAGGCATAGTCTCCTGGGCCCTCGGTAGGTGTGTGATCCCACGGACACAAGAGTGCAAGAGTGGCCTCGTCCCACACGGGGCAGGGGGCTCAAGAGCACAAAGACCCTTAATGTAGAGCTTGAGTGGCTGTGCGTGCAGTCAGAGCTTTCGTTCCCCTTAGGGCTGTCTGTGCAGAACGGATGTAAAGTCCAAGTAAGGTCAAGGGGGGGCGGGTTTAAAGTACTGGAGGAGGTGCTTAGTTTTCGAGCCCTTTTAGAAGCATCAAGTTGTGTCATAAAATAGCTAACAATAAACCTGTAGGCTACACCACAGGTAACACTTACCTAGTCATGAATACTAGTATCCTGAGAACCTGACCAAGCAGTGCACTGTGAGGGAAGCCATAAAACCTTATTTCTTAAAAGACAAATGCAACTTCAGACTGGCTCAACCTGGTCCAGAACTACATGTTTCCTGCATGTTCTTTGCCGCAGTGGGATGGCCGGTTAAGTCAACACTTAGCTGCAAATTCACTGTGAGTGAATCCACCAACGCATAGTCAATGGCCGTTATCAGCTTGTACTGGTGGGAGTAGCTCAAAAGGGGAAAACGAAACAAAACCAAACCCCAAAATAACCCACCGTAAACCAAGAGCAATAGCAAACAGCAAATGTAGCCCTGGGGTCCTTGGCATAACTGAACTTGACATGCTCAGACAGCAGTGGTGAACTTGGGAAAGATCACAATAGACACTGTTTAATAAAGGCCCCCTCCCTTCCTCTGTTGGATTTCACGTTTTATTTTTTACTTATTTTTATTTAGCAAGAGGGCCAGTGTGCTTGCTACGGAGAGACAGAGACAGAGGGAGAGGGAGAAAGCATCCCCCAATGGAGTGTGGTCATACCACAATCCCTTCTCTTCATCCTGTCGGGATTTTGGGCATATACACACATACACCCAATATGTTTTTCAAACTGGGTCATGTTTTCTGGGGCCACATTTTAAAACATTGTTCCATACCTCTGAGGACCCCAGCTTCTGGGATTTCCTGCTTTCGCAAGAATGTATTTCATTTAACGATGCATGAGGATCAGGAATTGCCACGGTTCACTTTTTTAATAATAAAAATCCATAAGAGTTGAAAATCTTTTTAGACACTCCTAGTTTGGCAAACATCATGGACCTCCACATTTATGTGAATTCACACATAAGCTGGCCAGCCCCTCAGTGCCGGCTGGCCCCCTTTGGCACCAGAACACAATAATTTATTCAGCTTCAACTTGGTAAGTGTGCACAAATATCATGCAAACATTACGACGGTACTGACAAACAAAAAGTGTATTAAAGACATAGACTTGTACAAAACATCTTGTAAACAAAAGGGAAGAGGTTGGTGCTTTCTGTACAAAATATGCAGGTTTTTCCTTTTTTTTTTAATAATCTGTAAGATGCATCATACTTCTGGCATTTTCAAAAGGTGAAAACTGTATAAAAATAAATATTCAATGTACAAACACACACACAGGCCAATCCAAGGTTAGAGGCATCACTGCAAAACAAAAACAAAACAAAACGATGTAGGGTTAGTTTCAGTGTGGGTGTGGCTGTGAATGTTATCTCCCTGGTGGGAAAGGGCGCTGATCTTGTCCCAATTGTGTGGGAGGTCTGGATGGGGAACTGGGTAACTGTAAGCAGCTTGGCGGGAAAACCGCCTTCACTCTCCAGTGACTCCCCTTGTGGCCAGTAGAGGGCGCATGTTCTCTGTGCAGACTTTGGAGGCAAGGCTGTTGTTGAGTGACTGCCTCATCTCAGATTGAATTTATGGTGCAGACAGGAGGCTGGCTAGTGACTTCTCCAAGGCACTGTAGCTCTTGTGAATGGATTGTCTTTCCCTGGTAAACACAACTATTTCTATTTCCTAACCATCAACAACAACCTCAAAAAAAGAAAATCTTAAGGGGCAAGAGGTGGAGGGGCTTCGACATACTGCTGATCTTTCTGTGGTGCTTTACTCGGTCTGAGGCGACCAGAGGATGAGACACCCCTTGAGGGACAGATTCTTGGAGAGACAGCTCCCTGGAGTGTGGAGCTTTTCCTTTTTTGGGTTAGGGGGCACTTTAAGTACTTAGGCAAGTAGGTATTCAACGTGGGCCTGGCGTCTTGGTGGCTTCACTACTTTTCCAGACCCCACAAGCTAAGATTCCATGCAGCTTAGCACGGGAGCTTCTCTATCTCATTGGAAGTTATTATTAAGACTCATAACTCATTATTCCACTGTCTCGGAACAGGACGGGTTAGTTAAGCGCAGACTCTTGAGTAGACTGGGGTCTGCAGCCCCTTCCTGAGGGTGAGCCCACAGCCCTTTCAGAAGGAAGAACCAACACCTGAGTCCATGGTGGTAGTGCATTGGTGAGAAGCTCTGAGGAGGAGGCAGGGTGGAGGGTGGTGGCACAGGGGTGGCATGGCAGCTACTCCATTTGCTGGGCACCAAGGTGGGCCAGATTAACAAGCTGATGGCTCTTGTCAGGCTGGGGAGCCCTGTGCTCTGGGGAGCTGTGGCTAAACAAGTCATTGTGTGCAAGGGGATAGCTCTGTGGCATCTGGCTGCCGTATGGATGACAAATGCCGAGGCTAGTGAGATAACTCCTTGGGAGGAACCCTGGGAGCCCAGGTGAGGTCGGGCTGCAGGTCCCTTGGACAGCTTAAGTCCAAGGGGAAGGAGTGAGGTGAGCTGAGCAGTCCCTGGAGATGATGGAAGCCAGGTGAGTGTAGTGCTGAAACAGCTTAGATGCCCCACCTCTGAATAGATCGCAGTCACGTGGCTTTGATGGCCCCACATGAAGGCTGTGATAAGTAATTTTAAGCAGGGTCTGCCACTCCTGTGTAAACGGACCACACAAAGCGTCACGATGTCGTGTGTGGCTGTATGAGAAGCCCACGTCCTGGGGTTTGCTGACTCTGTCAGGAGCACTTCAGAATGTGCTCTCCAGTGCGTGGGCTCTGCAACGGGCACCACCCGAGATGGTGCTTTTCCCAGCCCCGACTGTGGCCTCATCTGCAGAAAGCAGAATGGGATTCCTACAACGTGACCACGGAGTGCGGGGTGAGCCCGTGGGAAACCTTACCTTGTTCCAGCAGCCCTGGACAGGTAAGCCGTCTTCACCCTGCAGTGAGGAAGGAAGGCAGGAGACTCAGACTCTCTAGGTCCCAGCAGCAGGACCCGAGTGACAAGGACCACAAACATTTCGACAGCAGATGAGGCTGTGGCCCACCCAGTATTGTCTATTCTGTTTCTACTTCAGGTCAGAACCTCGGACAGGGGAGGGAATGAGCCTGAGGTTCCCCGTTGGCTGAGACCACATGTGGCTTGTGGGTCAGCAAGCAGGACGTCCTTGTGTACTGCAAGAAAACAGGCACTGCTCTAGCTCCGTGGAGGGCTGACGCTCCCAGACAAGCCACTCAGTGAGGGCCTCGGTTTCTCCTCTGTCAAACCTGGGCGAGGTGGCTGCTGGACATGACCTCTTAGGGCCTCCCATTCTCCGGCCTCTCTTCCTGAGCAGTGGGAGGACACCTAGGCTGTCCCTGTATGATGTCCAGTGTGGGTGGAGGAGTGAAGGGACAGGAGCTCCTGGGTATTGCACGGTGACCCTGGTTTCTGGCACAGCCTTAGACGTGGTGGGCAAGTCGGGGTGAAATGCAGCGCAAGGCGGGAATCAGCTCTACAGGGTTTGTCTCCTTCACTGATGGCAACTGCCAGGCACCCCAGAACCTCAGGATGTTCTGCCTGAGGTGAGGAAAACCTTCCTGAGTCCCTCGGGCACACCCTGAGGGGGAATCTAGAAACCTTCCAGAGACAAGGTGGGGAGGGCGAGGCTGAACCAAGGGCCAAGTTCTGGCTCTCAGTCCAGGTATACCTAGAAAGGCAGGCCAGACTAGAACTCCAGGCTCCAGGGCAGAGAAAGCAGAGTTTTCGGGACCAGGAACAAGGGCACAGTCCCGAGGGAGGCTGTGTGGGCATCCTGTCCCTGACTGCTTTCATCCACTCACGCCAGGTACCCAAGCCTCTCACAGAGCACTGGGAAGGCACTGGCCCCTACTCAGAGGGCAAAAATCTAGTTATCTTGTACTAAAAACTTAGATCAATAACTGCTCCTGCTCTCATGCCCATGCTAACACAGTGCAAGAGGCAGGAGGAAGGAGAAACGACAGCGGGAAGAGAGGGTACCTCCACTCCGTAATTAAACAACCGGCATGTCCACACAGATGTTACTGGAGAAGAGTCAAATAAGAATGGCTTTTGTTTCCCCTCCAGGTGGAGGAGGGCACTGCAGGGGGAGGTGGTGGCCCCTCAGTTCGTGATGCCCTCTGACCCTTCCCCAGTTCACCACGGCTGCAGCACACTTCACACGGACTCTGGAAGGGAGAGGAGCCTCCGCAGGCCACAGCGGCATTCCCCTTGGCAAGTGAGTGGTGGCGGAGCAGGCATAGCGGGAAGTGACGTGTGGTGAGGAGCAGGGAGGTCAGTGCGGCTGAGGCAGAACTAGAGGCGCTCAGACAGGGGGAGGGCGTGGTGGCCGAGGGAGGACCTGGTCAGGGACATGGATGTGCTTTGGAGGAACCAGAAGGTCCCACTGTTGAGCAGGATGCCCACGCATGCTGCATGCTTGGGGTGGACTGCAGGACCAGCGGGAGGAAGCGTGTGTGCCCTGCGTGCTGTTCCGTGCTCTCTCTGCATTGCACGGGCAGGTCCTGAGAAGCCCCTAGGACACTTGAAGGAACTCTACGGTCACCCCTCTGGGTCACACAGCACATTTTTGTGTAACTTTTCTATTCACAGAAAATTCCTGCATGATTGCAGGGTGATGAGCCTCGTGAGGCTGAGAATTCTCATCTATTACAGGTATCAAAATTGCTTCCGAATGCCCAACCTACAGGGGGTGTTGTTTTTCCCTCCAGGGGAAGTGTACTTAGGAGAGAGGCAGAGGGACAGAGAGAGGGAGTGGGAATGGTCACACTGCAATCGCTTCTCTGTTTCTCCCTCTTTTTGGGATTTTGGGCATGGACACGTATGTGTCTGGACTCGAACTATGGGGATGGCCACATGGGATCAGGTTGACTTAACCACCAGGACACAGAGCCAGCCCCTGACTGGAGAAATTTAGGGAGAGCAGGAACCTCTGGGATCATTCACCCTGGAATGCGTGTCACCTTCTCTTTCTCTTGCAGTGTGTTAGGGGATCAGTGAAAAGTCCTAGCTTGACCCGTGTGGAGAGAGACTGGGCCGATGGGACAGCCTCTCCCGCTAAGCCCTCAGTTCACATGCTGTGCACAGGTTCCTAGCTGCCTCCCTGCCTCTTTAACTACATTCCTGACCTTTCCATCTCTCCCAGACTCTTCAGTGGGGAGCTATCTGAAGCTGACAGAAAGGGACTTCAGGGAGGATCTTAGAATGTCTTCTAGGATTTAAGCAAAAAGGACAAATCTTTCAGGACCTAAAAACTGAACTTGGACCATCCCCTAGTTCTGATGGCATCACCTGGGCAGAGATCTAGAACGCAACTTGGAAGAACAGGCCAGGTGGCCCCTCCTCCACCTCAGTTCTAGAACTTCTCAGTCTACCCAAAGTCTATAAGTGTGTCCACCTGGCCCTGCCAGTTAGGGAGGGGCTGGAGGAGCAGGGGCGTGGGGCTGACTCGGGCCTCTCCTTCAACTGTCTTGCTGTGTTCAGCCACCACGTTCTGAACTAACTGCATTGCATGGAGGAGAACAGCCAAGGTGCTGAAACCCTGAAAGAATTCACTTTCCTGTCTCTCTCTGGTGGCAGATTTGTCTAGATGCAATTCAGAGATGAGTAGCGGAGGGAAGGAAGCCAGCTTCTAGGGCGCAGGGATGGCTCACATCAGGGGGATGTTCTTC